GCCCAGTTCCCACTCCTATCACTTCTCATGCGACTATTATAATAAACTATTGAGTTTATATAAATCTTATTTCATTTCAATCTATCTTCCACACAATTGTCAAACTGAGTTTCCTCTAGCATGTCTGGCCATGTCATTCTCCTACTCAATAAGCTCTAGTGTTTCCCTATTACCTCTTGAAACAAATATAAACTCTTCTGTCTAGCATCAAAAGCCCTTCACAGCCTGGATTTAACCTGTCTTTCTAGCGTTATAAGCAACTTCCTCTCAATTGCTCTAAGCTCTAGTCAAACTGGACTTGTTACTGTCTCTCATAACAGTACTCCCTTTCCCATTACTATGCCTTTACATTGGCCATCTTGTTGTTTGGTTGTTTTTCAGTTGGGTTTGACTCTTCATGACCCCGTTCAGGGTTTTCTTGGCAAAGATACTGGAGTGGTTTGCCATTTTCTTCTCCGTCTCATTTTACAGATGAGGAAACTGAGGCAAAAGGAGTTAAGTGACTTGTCAAGGATTACACAGTTAGTGTCTGAAGCCACATCTGAAGTCATGAAGATGAATGAGTCTTCTTGATTCCAGGCCTGGAACTCTATCCACTGTTCCACCTAGCTATCCAGGCTATCTTTAGTGATGCTAATGGTGGAAAAATTACTTTTGCCCAGGACACCTTTCATCGCTCTTTAGCTAATGGAGGCTGGTAGGTGGTGCAGTGAATAGAGCACTGGGTCTGGAATCAGGAAGACCTGAGTTCATATTTGGCCTCAGACACTTACTATCTGCGAGACCCTCGGCAAGTTTCCTAACTGCTGTCTGCCTCCATTTCGTCAACTGTGAAGTGGAGATGATAATAGAACCTACTTTACAGAGTTGTTTTGAGGATACAATTGAGATAGTATTTGTGAAAGTAGTTAGCACATTGCTTGGCACATAGTGTGTTCAATCATGTCCAACTCTGCTTGACTCCACTTGGGGTTTTCTTGGCAGAGATACTGGAGGGGTTTGCCCGTTTCCTTCTCTAGCTCATTTGACAGATAAGGAAACCGAGGCAGAGGATTAAATGACTTGCCCAAGGTCACACAGCTAGTAAATGTCTGAGGCCAGATTTGAACTCAAGTCCTCCTGACTCCAGGGCCAGCACTCTATCCAACTAGCTACTCTGGCACACTGTGCTATATAAATGCTTACTCTTTTCTTCAGTTCCCCCTTTTCCTCCTCCCTGCCCCCCATCAGTGGTATCAAACTCAAATAGAAAAGGGGCCACTGAATCATACATTAGGATTCCCGTTTTAAAACGTACTATTATATATTTTTATTTTGTTAATTATTTCCCAATTGCATTTAATTTTGACACCTTTGCTCTAGGTTATTATCTGAGACTGTAAGTTTCAGAAGTGCCAACTTGTATTGGCAGAGTTATTTATTTATTTCCTTTTCCAGGAATTCCTTATGCTAATGGAATCAGAGGTCTAGTCCTCATCCCTTTCCATTTTAGTAGGCATATGCCAAGAGAAATAAGGTTCTGCCTCTTTGGTTAGTGAATTCTTCCAATGGTACGTGACTTTCCCTTCTTCTGTTCGCGCAGTCCTACTGACAAAAGTTTTTGTTTTGGCACTAATTAATTTACAACTTTCTGCTGCACAAGTAGTGAGCATAGAAGCTGACATTTCACAAATGACAGCATTCTTACCCTAGTGGTAGTTTGGGGGGTTAGCTCTCAGCTTTTAGGGTAAGGGTACGGCTTAGGAAAAGGTTTCATGTAGAAGGTAGCACACGAACTGAGTTCTGAAGCACATCAGGGATTTGAAGAAGGTATGTATATTCTAGACATGGGTGACAGCCAGTGCAAAGGCAATGGGGACTGGGAGAGTTCTGGATATAGAACAACTGAATCATGTTGTAGTTTGACCATAACATCAGGGAGGTGACAACATGACATGCAAATGTACTGGATTTAAGTGAGGGAGGGCTGTGTAAAGTCACCAGCCTCACTTCTTCCTCTGGAGCCATCTGGGTCCAGTGGCAAGATATAGATCAGGACGACTGGAGATGGCTCCAGATGCAGTGGGAGACTTTGGCCTTTTTAAGCTGAGGTCTTTAAACAGTTTGCCTAAGGCAACACACATTCAGTGGTAATCAAGGCGAGTTATGAAATGAGGCAGAGAATGGCCTCTACCTAGTCAAAAAAAAAAAAAAAAATCAGTCTGGGAGGGGAAGACCCTCAGGCCAAAGCAGAAACAATTGCTATTTACATTTACTCTGAGCCAATCAGGGTCCAAACAAGCGGGGCTTGGCTTGGGACCTATTGTTGGCCTATCAATGAAAGCCAGAGTCATTTGGGTTTAAGGCCAAGTCCTTAAGAAAAAAAGATTTTAATGATCAAAATCAAAATGCATGGAGAGGAGCCCCTTGAGTCACTAGATTGGAAAGAAAGGAAGAGCTAGGTTGTAAAGAGATTTAAAGTGTGAATGAGACGAGATAGATAACCAGTCTTACTCAGACCTGGAGAGAGCAGTAATTTTAGTGAAAAGAGCACTGTATTCGAAATGAGAAGACCTAGGTTTGAATCTCAACTTTGCCTCTGGTTACCTGTGTAACCCCAGACAAGTGAACGTTTCAGAGTTTTGTTTCCTCATCTGTAAAATGAGGGGGTTGGACTAGATAAGTTCTAAATTTATCATTCCATTAGAGAGCTGAAGGTTGCAATAATAAACACCCATCTTGCGAGATCCCAAAAGGGAAGGAGTAGAATAGCAGGCAACATACATTCCAAAGAGCAGCTTGGACCTTGTCCTTCACTGGTATGGTAGTATAGACAGTGTAGTTGCTGTAGAGGAAGGTGGAACCCAGCAGAGAGGACTGTATAGGCAGTGTAGTTGTTGTAGAGGAAGGTGGAACCCAGCAGAGAGGACTGCTTGACATCCTTTATAAAAGGGAGGAAAGCTTTCTTGATTGCTTAACGGCCCATCATGCATTTTTCTGTGTTAACTAAAACTTGTCAGTTATTTGGTATCAGAAGGCTGGGGAAAGTAAAACAAGTCAGCTTCTGATAGTTAAACAAGTCGGATTTTGAGAGTTAAACAAATCAGATTCTGATAGTTCCTAGGGGAAGCAGGACTTGGAAAATGTGCCAAAGAGATTTCTGATACTTACACTCCCTTGCCCCCCTTCACTGTACTGTCTTTTCCTGGGGTTAAGGGACCAGGGCCCACCGACATCTGAGAAACACTGGTTCTCTCATAACTAACAGAAAAGAAAGGGAGACAAACTAAACCAATATCATAATTTCATTTTTAGCACACGTGCCTTATAGAGAGTTGAACAGCTACACAATTTGAATATTCACAGGACCTCAACTACATATTGATGCTCTGATGATTTAACAGAGATTTCTTCTGGACTTATTTGGACTCGCTATCTCTATGGTCTAGCACAGTGCCTGATTAATAATGTTTGTAAATATTAGTTGAATCAGCCCTTCCCCTTGCCCTCCCCTTCCCGGAAACACACATGCCAACTCTGGAAGAAATGAAATAGATTCATTATTATGTATTACACATTTCTACAGCAAACAGTTAATTCACATTCTGATAAAGAGCAAAAGACAAGTGCTTTATTATGAGAACTGTTCAAGTAAATTTTCAGAGTGCACCAGTGAAAGTGAATAAAGATGACTTGCATCGATTTCATTGAATGAACACTGGGTTAAAAGGGGCTACAGTTCTTTTCCCAAACACCACCCTTTGCTAAGGCAAAAATACATGTCCATTTTAGAACAGAATTTTTACAGAAGAAAGCTACATCACAGTACAGGACAGCATGGAGAATCCACCTTAGGACGCCATCATGGAATCACCTACACTCACAGCTTTCTAATGCAGGATAGGGTTACAGAGTTATTGATCACAGCTTTATTATTCTTTAAATTTATAATTTTGAATGAACTTTCTATTTTACTAGCATGTGCAGATGGGGCTCATATTCTGATACTGCAGTAATTAATTACAACATTAAGTAACATTGCACAGCAACCTTCCAAGGTTAATTCAGTACAAAATAACAAATATTAAAATGTACCAGTACTAGTGGTTTTACAGAGTTTATATCACTATTTATGAAGGAAAAAAAATAGGTAAATGCCCAATTACAAAGCTGCACATTACAGGCATAGTGATGTGGAATAAATACAAGGAATTGGGTAAAATATTAAACACAAACATGGGAACAAATTGTACGACCACATACGCATAAATCAATGATCCACTGTTATAAACAATGCTCAAAAGTCTCTTAGGTAATCTCATGTATCATGGTGGCTGGAAATGGTGGACGATGGATAGAGAAGAAAGAGAATAGGTGTCAAACGTTCCAAACGCCAGTTAATTCCTGAGGTGGCATTATTTCTTAACTGATGCATTGGTCAACACTTCAAAAATGAGTTTGTGCTATGAAACAGTACCAATATTTATTACATTTCCACAAACTGGTATTTGCAGTATTCTGAAGGCAGCGAACCTAACTCATATTGTACATCATGATAATCAAAGGGGAGATCTCTTATTCTTAGTTTTCCTGCTACGTTTATCTGTGGGCTAGGAGAAAACACTTCAAAGTTCTTAAGAAATTGGACCTAAGTTTAATTTTTTTCTCCAGCACCTCTTAGCCCAAGGCAAAGCTACAACTTGTTTTTATTTATTTCTTTAAATTCTAACTGCCAACACTGTAAACATTTAAAAAAAATTTTTAAACTAATCCTTGCTCAATAACAAGGATAAGAGCAAACATAAGCAGGTACAACTCTGTGTACAATAAAAGCTGACTCATCAAGTGCTGATTTAAATGTATATTTGATTTGTAAGTTATTAAAAAAAAGTTCATGCTACAATTGTAAAGACTATTTTTGTGCACTTTAATTCTGGACACAATTTTCAAAAATGCATGATGGAGGTAAGAATTTAAAAAACTCACCAAAATGTAAATAACAATTTCAACTCAAAGCATCAAACATATATTTCTGTGCAGAAATCTAGACGACTATACAAGATCTTTTTTTAAGCAATTATCTTTTTTATTATACAATTCTATGAACATAAAATGAACAGAATACTCAATTTACTTACCTGTACATGTGAACATAACATTTTTAGCTACAGTTATTTAATATAATTCGTACTGATTTTAATTTTACAGTTCATAACTATGTATAACCTTATTGCAATAAGGGCAATTTCTACAGGGGGAGTTTCACAGGCCAATCACATTAGGCATTATCAGTACATTCACAAATTGGAGATCATGTATGCATCTTCCCTGATCCTGTAAATTTAGTTTTCTCTATAGTTTAAGCTCATTTGCAATTTTGGATGCAATGTTCTTAAATGCAATAGAAGTCCCAGATATTCTTTTGAAACGGACCCCATTAAGTGACAAGCGAGGCAACTTGCAGACTTCCATCTCCCACTGAACAAGGCTATCTTGTCTGGCATCTCCGTGAACACAGAAGAGCAAAAACTTCTCCTTTTGTTCATAATCACAGTTATTTGCATCTAACACTTTTCGGATCTCTCTCATCATATCATTGGGGTCCATGGAACTAGTAGTCTTCATACTCCAAGTGAACCGCAAAGAACGTGGCTTGGAATCTTTACTATCCTCTTTTTCTCTTTCCTTTGGCTCCCCAGAAGTACTTCTATGAGGAAAAAGGTAAAAAAAAAAAAAGCCCACCCAACAGTGAAATTAATACACACAAAAACATGTTTAAGTTTCCACATTTAATAAAACTGTGCACAATGCAGACAATACAAAGGTAACTACAGACAAGTTAATAGAATTACTATGAAGGCACAGTTACCTGAGCCCAACATTCTGTATTGACTTACATTAATATCTGAAAGGTTTTTAAAAGAGTACATATTACCAAAACAATGAGTCTATGGGATACTATTCTGAAATATTAACTATACTCAAAAAACAGAAGGGGACACTTGTTTCATTTCCTTCTCCATTTTCTTTGTATATACATACATAATACATACATACATGTAGGTTTATATATGTGCATGCATAATCTATGGAAATGACATAAATTTTACACACACACATAAAATGGGAAGAATATTCTAAATATATGTATGCAAATGATTTTAAAAGGTGCATTACATTTTTCTTCTCTCCAATTAATGCTTTGTTTTGTTCTGTTTATTGGCAGAGGAAGGGGGAAGATTAATAGAACCTGGTGGGTAATCATAGGCAATGTGAAAGGGACAGATCAAGGCAAAGTAAGAGTCTTGAACTACAACCATCTCATTGAATTCTGAAATATGATATTTGTCTCCAGAAGATATATTTCAGATTACAGAAAGGTTCCAAGATAATTTTTATATTTGTGATGTAGAAAATAAGGTAACTGGACTGATGAATAATAAAATATCAAAATAGAAATGTTGGGATAGTAACTTCTCAACCAACCTTTAAGAAAACGGTTTGACAAAAAATAATATCACCTGAAAAACATTTTATATTTTAATAATATATACTAGTATAATCATATTTCAAGACCTCAGAGCTACTAATGCTCTGCCACTTATGTAAATTAGAGGAAAAAAAGGGAAAAATATAAAGTAGATAAAAAATTATCCAAAGAATGTTAAATAATCATGGAAGCTAATTTTTTCAGTCCTCTCTTTAGTACTTGTCTTGAACTTGTACAATTTACAATAACTCAAATATATCTAAAACTTGAATATTTGCAAGAACAAATGTCAACCTCACAATTAGGAGGCAGCTAGTAGAGCAAGCTATTACCATCAGTATTGGTGTTATTACTACCATTTTTTGAGTAGAGACTGAGGCTGCAAGGTTAAAACACTTGCTCACGGTCACACAGTTCATCAGCTCAGGGCTGGGACACAAAGTCAGCCTTTTCTCTGAGATATACCACTTCAAAGGAAGTGAATCACAGGTTGCACAGAAACAGAAACATTTCTATACTTAAACTATAATAAATTCTTTCCCTAAAATAGCATACAAAACAATATTCCTGTTTTTCTAACAGAAGCATCACTCATAGAGTAAAAAGGAAAACTAAGTATTAAAAATTGTATGAAAAAGATACAATAGGAATGCATTTTGTACATTCTGTGTGACTGCATCATTATAAAAAGAATCAAATTAACAGTAGCGATGCCTGGCAAGATGCTTTAGTACTAGGGTGGGGGGGTGGGGTAAGCTTAATAGTGTAGAGCACAAGAGGGGCTGAAAACTAAATTGCTCCATGTTTATTTAATAGGCTAAAGAAAGGCAACCAGATTTCTCTCCTCCCCTCTCCCACCCTTGCCCTCTACCCACAGAGGCAGAGGTATCTCAGAGCATTCAGAAGAAGGAAAACACAGTAGAAGGACAGCATTTTAATTTCAATAACCAAAACATAAAACTAGTATACTTTTTAAAGAAGGTTTATTTGGGGGGCAATGCTCAAAAAAGCATGTTCAAAACTCATTAGTTTTTGCTTCTAGTAATCACTTTAAATGTAGTAAAAATCCAAGGTGTGTGTTCAGCCAGTCAAACACAGTTTGATGCTAAGCTACTTATCAAGAGTTTAAGATTTAATTTCCAATCCTGAACACTTCCTAATAAAAATATAATGTAATATGCTTATTCCTTAGTTCTCCCATGAGCCAAACAGTTGTATAAATACTCACATAATTCATATACTTCCATGATTAATAAGTATGGTATAAGGGTCCCAAACGCCCCATCAAAATTTTATGTGCTGAGAGCCTTTGAGCCAAAGCACTCTGGCAAGCTGAACACCCATCTGGAATTGAAGACTAACATTACAGCTCCTTACATATTTGCTTATTTCAAATGTTTGGATGTTCTGAGTTCTATGCTCTGTTTTATATGACTTGCATTAATTTTAATTGCATTACTTTTAATATAAGAAAAACAATTAATGAGTTTAATAAGAATCTAATGAGTTTATTTTTACTGTGAACATTTTAGAATACAGAAATGCTGCTTCTTTATAAAGTATACACTTCAAGATACTGTTTGGAAAATATAAAGAATTAAGTATAAGTTTTTTTTCAAAGCAATAGATTTCCGGGGAACAAAGAAAAGCCCACCCAAACATAAACTTTTAAATATACAAAATAATATCTAGCCCATTGGTTTTTATAATTTCATTTTATGAGTTTCTATTACATATTTAAGAAATTGAGTTTTCATACACAGGGCCCTGGCAGCGAAGTATTAATTAATAGTGGCTCCTCACCTTGAGGTGTCAGTTCTGCCACTGGCTTCGCCTTCACTTGGATCCCTCAAAACAAAGTTAAGGTGGAGAGTCAATGATAAAGGTGAAAAATAAATTCAGAAAACCTACATCTAAAATGATGTTAAAATAACTTTTTGTTGAGAAAACTTTTAGCATTACAATTGTTCATCATTACCAACCTGATATTAGGTTTCAGTTTTATTTCATCATACTCACCAAAACTAACATTTATTGAGCGTCTACTGGGTATTTATCACTGATTAAAGTTGTTACAGTGAAACCAGTTCATTTATATTATCTTCCAATTACTCAACCAAGATATATGGTAAAAAACAATTTTTAAAAAATTCAAGCTAAAGTTAGAATGATTTTAAAGTTAATAGCCACACTTGACAAAATTTATTATTAAATGTAATTCTAGTAGCCGCTCAATTTAGAAATTAAGTCTTACAATATGATTGAATTATCTTTGTAGTCGGATAAGAGCTTTTTATATGTGTATATATACATATATATTTCAACACAACACATATTAACATCATTCTTTGAAAAGTAATAAAAAGTTTATTAGAATTTCACTCAAAATGTAGTACACACATTTTAAATGATTTGATCTGGTAGAAATATATAGTAAGTAGACAATGAATAAACATATAAGAAGTTGCATTCATTCTACTATAACAGAACCTTAGGTACCTTCAACACTGATGGGATGTGTGTGCATGTGCACACGTATATGAACACATGTGCATATGTATTTAAGATCTCAAAATATTTGCTCAATCAGGTTTTATCTATAAATCCATCCTGGAAAAGTATGTTAAATAAAACCAAAGAAACCCTTCTTTTGAACTTAACTATGAAAATACTAATAAAATCTTAAATGGTTTCATGATTGTCAAAAACAATTAAACCCAGAAAAACCTGCAGAGAAATTGATTATTAAGCAATGTTAAATTATCACTAGATGACATGTAGTGGGATTACAAAACAACTGGTCAAATGAAACTCTGAATTTAAAAATTCAGTTGGTGCTTTACCTTACTATAGAAAATGCTGTTGTAGAGATATGTAGAAGTCTATAAACCATTTTGGTTCATGGGTAAGTTGACTTACCAAACATAAAAGCGTATAAGTCTAATGGTGGGAAGGAAGAACTGAATTTTTATGCATAATTCAAGTTTTGTACAATAATCATTGTTCTGGAAGCTTAGAGGCAGTAGAGCATCTTTTCAACTCTACTTTCTCATCCATGGCTATTCAAAATAGCAGTGGACATAAAACAGAGTTTTCCATGACTGTTGTTTCAATCTGTTGCTGCTAGGAGTAAGAGCTGGGAGGTATCCTATCAAGTAGCTGCTTTGAATAGTCATAATATGTAGGGAAGGGGCTAGGGAGACACTTGGTTCACTAGTTACACATGGGAATTGGGGGAAAAGAGAGCTCAGCTATTAGGACATCGAACACAACACCATTTTAAGGGCTTATATTTTGTTTGCTAATGCTGACATAGATGATAAACGAACTTAATAGTTTATTTGCTAATCACAGTGTACTGTATTATTCAATCAAAGTGCTAGAAAAATTTACCAACTGTCATATTGTCAATTACCATGTGATAATTGTAGAATTAAATAAATTTGTTAAAGCTTTTTGAAAGATTTCTAGAGACAGACATTTCATAACTACTTTACACACAAGCAAACCTTTAACCTGAAGTTTAAAACTATCTTCCTTTGTACTGTTACGATGCTCCACAGGCTGGTACAATCCTTAAAATAGTCATATTTTGAAGACAGTTATTAAGTTGGTCTTTCTCTTTTGCCTTCCCAGTCTTAATTACTTAAACTTCTTTAACTTTTCCTCAGAAATCTGATTTTTCACTTACTGGTCCTTTGTACCTTGACTTTACTGGTTCTCAAAGATTGTAAAACACTCCTTAGTTTTCAAGTGGTACTAAAAATTGGCCCTGGCAACTGAGTATGCCTATTTCTGCTGCTAATCACATGGAAGTTTTTGTGTAGGGATTAATTTCTTCAGATTTGAGAGATAACAAAGAAAGGAAGTCTACAGGAACAAGAAATATAGGGAGGGCCACAGGAGTATGAAGGACTGAAAATCTGAGAAAAAAACTGAACACATAGAATTATGGGGCTGGAATACATGCATACTACACACTTTTGAGTTTGTCTAGTCCATACCAATGCCATGTGAATGTTCTTAATACTACAAATGGAGAAGATCAATTAATTGTGCCCTATTCCGTCACTGACTCAGGATTATCAGAGGTCCTATTCCTGCACTAAACTCGATGTTTCAGCATCGCCTCTACCACAGTACAATGTTGAGCTGCAACTTCCAACTACCAAAATGCTGCATGAGGGAATACGTCTCCATGAGGATGTGCAGAAGGTAAGATGCCGTTGTGTTTGTTAGGTGATTCTACACATGCAAACAGTTCTACAGAGCGAGATACAGCTTTAATGGTTCTTCTTCAACAAAGTGTCTTCCAGGCAAATGTTAAGATTTTACATGATTTTTGATAGATGCTACACAGATAACACTAATGAGACAGAAAACCCTCCAGTTATTAATATCAAGTGAGGCATAAAACAGGGAGACACAGGCTTTTTTTTTTTTAAGGCAATTGGGGTTAAGTGACTTGCCCAGGGTCACACAGCTAGTAAATGTCAAGTGTTTGGTCTGAGGCCAGATTTGAACTGAGGTTCTCCTGGCTTCTGGGCCAGTGCTCTATCCACTGCACCACCTAGCTGCCCCAGCACAGGCTTCAACTGACAGAGGACAATTAGAGTAGAAAGGGAAGAGGTATTCCCTATAGAGAAGGTCTTCCTGATGCTTCTGTTTGTGGATGATATTATGATTATTGCATCAAGTCCCAGAATATAGCAGAGTCTCCTAAATGAAATCCATAATAACGCAAAATAATTCAACCTAACCTAACCATACAGGAAAAAAAAAAACAAATAAATGAAGAATCCCTCTTTAGACTATAATATGCAATTGGATGGAAAAGCTATAGAACTAGTTCACTGGGACATACAGATTTTAGAAAGATGCAGTAGACGTCCAATGAATTAAGCCTAAAACAGAATAAGAGGAAATTAGATGTCATTTGAAAAATTGCAGAGTACTTTCAATGACAGTAAGTTTCTCTTGTAAAAAAAACTCACCCAATCTTTTTAATATAAATATTCTTCTGGTGATTTTGTATTGATGTGAATTATGGAATATCACAATCTCTAAGGAATAAAAATTGCAGGTCACCCAAAGGTAGGCAATGGAGAGACACTTGGTGGACATAAATAGACTAAATTAAAATACCAATGATAAAATGCATGAGAAAAGTGGTGTTAAAGACACTAAATGGATATATGACCAGAAAGAGAGGAGTCAGTCATTTAATGACAGTGAGTAATAACTAGCAGACAACTGAATCCTCTCTGGGTAACCCAAGTAATGCTGAGATCTGGAATAAGCCCTCTACATGTTTTATGGATTTCCTATTAGGAGAGGCAGGGAGGGAGCCAGGAATGGATGAGTGTTGTATAAGATGAAAAGGTAGGGATGAGTTGCAATCTGCATCTGTTGAAGGCGTACCAGATCAATGAACTCACTGATGCACTAAAGTACTGAGGGACACAGAAGGTACTATGGTTGTTCTAGACCTCATTATAAACTGATTGAATACAATAAATACAACATCCATATGTCTATTATGTGCAAGGTACTGTGCTAGGTTCTAGGAATGCAAAACCAAAATGGAAACTAGTCCCTGCCCTCAAGTAGTTTATCTTTTACTGCAGGTGAAGGGACACAGAACAGATACAAAGAAAAATGAATACAATATAATTTGAGGAAGGAGAAAATACTAACAACTCGGGGGACCAAGAAAGACTTCTTATAGAAGATGAAACATGACTTGAGCCTAAGCTAAGGAGGAGAAGCAGAAGAGAAAGGGCAAGCAAGATGGGCTTTGTAAAGGTGGGAGATGGAATGACAAGCTGGGGAAGGAGCAGGTAGGTAGGTCAGCCTGGCTGGAACAAAGAATGAGTAAAGGGAAGTGATACGAAATAAACCTTGAGAAGTAAGTTGGAGTCAGATTAGAAAGGGTTTAAATGCCAAGCTGATGAGTTTGCATTTTATCCTATGATAAATTAAAGAACTATTGAAGATGCTTGATTAGGCTTGAGCTTTAAGAATGTTATTTTGGTAGCTGGGAACAGTATAAATTAGAAGGGGAAGAGATTAATAGTAAGGAATCTTATTAGAAGGCTATTAAAATAGTCTAGGAGGGAGGTGAGGAAGGCCCAAAGCTAGGGTAGGCTGTGCACCTGGGGACAAGGTCATGTAGGCAAGAAATGCAATGGAGGCAGAACTGACATTGACAGCTATTATATAGAGGTTCATATCTTGATATTGTTTCTCTTGTAGGCTTCATTGTGACTTCAGTGAACTACATTAATTCCATGCCAACTGGATAGTTATACATTTTAAAAATCTATCTTCTAACTTGAAGTATGTATAAAAGTTTGGGAACCAGGTAAGTGCTTTTAATTTATCATGTTAAAGGCATGAAAATGACTCTTTACAGAAGACTGAATGAATAGCAGTCTTTTTCCTACCCTTCACAAAAAGCCCAGGAGAATAATACTTACTAAAGTTCTTTTAAAAGGAAAACACTTAGTTTTAATACTTAAATATAATACTTAAATAAGTAAATAAATTTAATACTTAAATAAGCAATTACTTAAATCCTTTAAGAATTACTGTTAAAAGGAAAAACACAGGGGTGGCGCAGTGGATAGAGCACTGGCCCTGGATTCAGGAGGACCTGAGTTCAAATGCGGCCTCAGACACATAACACTTACTAGCTATGTGACCCTGGGCAAGTCACTTAACCCCACTGCCTAGCCAAAAAAAAAAAAAAAAAGAAAAGAAAAGAAAAGAAAAAGAAAAAAAAAGAAAAAAACACAGAGAATTTTAAAAGTCTATAAAGACTCTCATTTGAAAAATGAGGAAAAGAAGGTCCAGGAAGATCATGCGATACACTAAAAGTCACACAAATAATTAGTGGCAGAGACATGCAAGTCTCCAAACTCCTAGACCAATGCTCCTTTGATTACTCTATGCTGCCTGTGATAAAGTCATTGTCATATAACAAAAATATAAGAAAAATGTGTTGTACAGTGCTTAGTGTACAATCAGGAATCAAGTTTTTTTGGTTTGTTTGTTTTTACCTGTTCTAGTGTTTCAGAATTGCCCTTCTTATTTAGACTTGTGTCCTCTCACTTCCTTGCATATAGTTTGTATTTAATATTACATGTATAACTGCTGCTTCTTCACAATAGAACATAAGCTCCTTAAGAGGAGGCATTGTCTTTTTGCATATTCTAACACAATGCCTGGCACATATGAGACACTGAATAAATGCTCAGATGAATAAGGAAATCAGTGGGGCAGGGGGGTGGGGAGAGGAAAAGATGGAAGAGAGAGGAGGAAGGGAGAGGAAGGAGAGAGAAAGAGAGGGAGGAGAAGGGAAGAGAGAAAGAGAAAGATATTATTTTTTTTTTCCCTTCAAAGAGATCTCATTTTGGGGATAAAACTGAAATTTATGTATATGGAAGCTTACAGTCATACCTATATGGTTCTAGAGGCACTTTCATTCTCACTCCACATGTTGAATACGGTCTACTGAATGCTGAGACATCACTTTTTGATTTCTTTACCCATTCATTAGACCCAGCCTGGGGAACAGTGGGAAGGGATGAAAAATGTTTCCCTGGCATTTTTGGTTCTCAGTCCTTTTACACCGCACTGGATGTGACCACAGAATTTTAAAAGTTCAGAGCTAGGAAGGGATATCAGAGATCACCCAGTTGGATTTCCTCATTGTATAGATTAGCAAGCTGGTATAAAAAAGGCCATAGATTAATACTGACACAGTACATAAAAATCTCCAAAATCAGATCAAGGCTAAGGAATGTAACTATCCCACCCTGCCTTCCTTCCATACATTCCTTTGACTGATCTTTATGGCTTCTTAAACCAGTCATTCAAAGATGCTCCTGATGTGTAAGCATGTCTAACTATGTGTCAGGGTGTGTCAAGGCAAGGTAAAGGGGTAGAGGAGGGCCAAAGAGAGCCAGTTTTAAGGGACCACCTAGCCCTCTAACCTCTCATGACTATGCCCATAATTATTTTTGAAAAGCAAGATTCCAAATTTAAGCATGGCTCTAAGGTATAGGGAATGATTCTGAAAACTCCTGTGCTTTATATAAAGAAGTTAATTATGTGGTGTGGAGATTGGGAGGGGAAAGGCATCAGTCCCAACTTTACTAAACAAAATTTAAAAGGACAGAGGCTATTATAATCATCCCCCCAAAGCCCTTCTAAAACATAAGGTGGCAAACCAAACTAATTAAAATTTAATGTTGATATTATAGCTAGGACATTGATTTTGGATAGAAAAAAACTTAAAACTCAGTGGTTGTGTTCTGTGGTGCTTTGTATATATTTATAGTATGTTGGAGTCCCTTTTATAATTAAAATGTTCAGTACAGTTTTTCCATTTTATAGGAAACAACATAATTTTTACTATTTTAAATGGATTGTAGAGGTTTTTAGTCACTATATCTACTTTTATGATGCATTTTTATTGTACCATAACTTATCTGATTCCTTTACAGAATTTTTATACACAGAAAAAATGATACAGGATAAAGTACACAATTACTTGTGGAGAAAACATAAGGATAACATAATTTTAAAGGCATAAGAAAAACATCTAAAAATTATCTTGAATAATAATCATAGAAGTGGACAAAGGAAGTTTGAAAAGAAACTAGAGAACTGAAATACTTTCTTTTTTCTAATTTATGCTAAATGTACACATTTTCAATATTCTGTGGTCAGTACTACCTGTTAAAACAGAGGGAAGAAGTACACATTTATGCTATATTTCTATTAGACATTTTCTTTATTCTATCTTTTTTTGTAGTTAATTTTTTTGCCTTCAATTAGCTTGATTTCATTTCTATTTAATGGGTTTCTTTTATGCTGAAAATTTCATTTAAAAAACTTCTACAAAAGACTGTGGCATTATAATATTCCTGTGAAAAATCACCATGCTATACAAATTCTGCTGACAAAAGTTCATTTGTGTTTGATTCCCTATACTAAAAATATAAAACATAACTATAACAATATATTGGTACTGACCTGCGAACAAACTTGGAAGTTATTTTGCTTATTATACCAGTTGACGTCCCCCTTCTGGCATGTGAAAATGTACCAGTTTCATGTGATGGTGAAGCAGGTGGTCCATTATAAGTAGCATTACGTCGTTCTCGGAGCTGTTCACCATGAAAAGTACTTCGACTTGAACTCCCACGAGGAAAACGGGTTCGGTCTGGTGTAGCAGCACTAATACTATGAGCAGATGGGGAAGCAGCAGGAACTCTCTGAGTTGTACTGCTGGGAAAAATTAAGATGCTATTCAGGTTGACACAGAAAAATCATTCACTCAGGAGTCATACTTGAAGCTAGAAGGAAAATATGCAGAGCTTTCCTTTGGCATTGATTTACTCTTCTCATTATAGATGTGAACTATGGATTGTTTTTCTAGTCAGAGATGATCTCATTTTTAGGAATAACTTTTAAAATGAAATATCTTTTGAATGCTTTTCATTAGATTATTAAAAATCCTCAATCATTTAAATATTAAGAAAATGCAAAGCTCAAAACATTCAACCGTAGTACTCTTACTTTGTAAAATACATAAAAGGCATAATAAACCTTTCAGCTCTAGGAGTGCTAAGTCCATGACAATGTCCATATATTAAATTATTCTAATTAAAGCTTTGTAGAGGTAAAAACAAACAACCCCCCCACACACACACACTGCTTTACTCTAAATACAACTACTCATTGTAAATTTAGGTCTTGATGAATAAATATCAAATGGCTATGTGTTAACTAACCTAATATCAAATAATTAAAATGCTCATGGGTAGAAAGGCAACATTCTTTAAACAAACTGGACAAAAGAACAATACTGGCATCACAGAGTTACACTGTTTTAAAACTAGAAGGCACCTGAGAGTGTGGAGCATAATTCTCCCTTCCTCTTATTTTTAAAGAATAAAGACCTAAGGAGCAGGAGATTAACAGCCATGCCTAAGCAGTAAGTGGTAGAACTCTAATGACAATCCAGACACTCTTGCTCCCTGATGTATGGCATTCTATATTTCATAAAAAAAGGAAATGGGATGCACACAGTACATTACCCTGGTCGATAGTCAGTGCCATCTTTGATGGTTGGCAATGTGACTTTTATGGGGTGGCCAGAGGCAGACATAGACTTCTGGTGTCGAGGCCGTGTCGACGGTGCAGCAGAAGTGATGGCAGATCCTGCAGAAGATGTGCTAGTCACAGACATTTCTGTCAGACTTTGAGCACAAGTCATCAGGAAAGCCATGGGAATATAAAAAGGAAAACAAACTGAAATTTGCCTCAACTAAAGAATGAGATTTCTACAGATAAACCAAACAATAAAGGAATTAAACATTTTAGAGAAATTAACCATTATTTATGACTAATACAATATCATTAATGCTGTTCCAGCTAAAAGTATGCTGCATAAATTTTCTCACCAGTTTCCATGGAAAAGTGTTGAGTAGGTTATGAAGTTATTTTTGTTGCTTTTCAATGGATTCAAAAATAAAGGATGAAGTAATGGATCAAAGACTTTTTTTCTTGTTAAGACTCAAAGTTTAGGATATCTTATTGAGGTTACTAAGAATAGAATAATGAGGAGCACTAAGCTGGTAAAAATAAAGTCTCCAGCAATAAACATCAAAACACCTTCATTAATTATCAATTAAAAGATAGACTATTATAGTGGAAGGGATTTTTAGAGATCAAGTCCCTGCTTTCCTAATTCTCATATTATACAGATGTGAAAACTGTGGCCTAGATAGTAAAAGAAACAGCCTGACTGAAGTCCTATAACTGGGAAGGAGAAGAACTGATATGACTCCTAATCATTATATGAACTTACAAATAAGAGTCTGACAGCCAAGGACTAGCTACAGTACAGAGAATTTAATAACACTGAAGACTCCCACCAGCTTCTTGAAGTGTCCAGGGGCAATAAAGGCAGAGCAATCTGGTGAATCAAATGCTGGATATGGAGTCAGAAGATATGATTTTGACTCTCACCTCAGACAATCACAGTACTAACCACGTGATTTGGCAAATCAACAAGTCTCAGCTTCAGGCTTCTCCTATGTAAAATGGGGATGATAACAGCATCTACTTTGCAGGGCTGTTTTGAGGACCAAATGAGATAATGTAAGTAAACTTTTTTTTTTTTGCTAGTCAATGGGGTTAAGTAATGTGCTAGTAAGTGTCAAGTGTCTGGTCTGAGGCCAGATATGAACTCAGCTCCTCCAGACTCCAGGGCCAGTGCTCTACCCACTGCACAACCGAGCTGCCCCTAAAGTGCTTTTTGAATCTTAAAGCTCATTACATATCGGCTATTATTACTATTGGAACTAAGGAGGATAAAACACCTCTACCTCCTTATTCTTTATATTTGATTTGTAAAGTGGTCCAGTCAATTCTACCAAGTCACTTCAATAACCATTTACTAAGCATTTACTATGTATAGAAGGTGCATTTTCCTGGCCTCAGTCTCATTAATGTTAAGAATTTTGACTTGGTATTGATGGTTTCTCATTGAGTAAGTGTGAAATTCTTTCCCCAAAGTTAATTCTTTAATAAGCTAAGCCTCCCTTTCCTTGTGCTGGATACACACCACGTTAAGTAAGAATAATTAATGTCAGATCATGCACTTGGGATATACCCTTGGACTTGCTCTTTAAAAGGAAGAACAGAGACATAAGAAACAGAGAAGGGCTAATAGGTCAGATGAAAAAAGGCCAGTCGGACTTATGTGGATTAAGATATCTGGAGGGAAGCCTGCAAAATCACCTAGGTACTGCCTGGCACACAGTAAGGTTTAATAAATGCTTTATTTAATCCAATCTAATGCACTTCATGGTAGCACCATAAGTTTGTAATACAGATATACTGAGTTAGGTCTCTATGAATTGATGAGTTATTGGATCCCTCTGTCAACCTGTTCCTTCAGTCTGCCCCACTTTCTGGAGTCCTGCCCTGTAGAAAATTCCTAACAACAAGGGCTATTCAAAACTGGAATGGGTTACATCACATGGTAGAGGGTTCTCTCTCATTGATGGTCTTCAAGCAAAGGCCAGATGACACTCGCCAGGTACGCTGCAGAAATGGTTCTTTTTCCAGTACAGGTCAGACCAGACAGCTGTTCAAGTCCTTCCAAATCTGAATCAATCAGTCATTTTTAATGTGGTATCAATGGGGCAACCTAGAACCTATCAAGACTTCACAATTCATCATAGAGTTAAGCTCATTAAGGGAATTTTAGAGAGACCTCATCAGTACCACAGTCAAGCCATTATTGGTAGGAAAGAGAGGAGAATGGTTTTTTTTAATCCTCATTATATAGGAAAATCTCATGGAGGACCAAAGTCCTCCTCCATGGCGGTGACGAAGACTGAGGATTATGCTTAAATGTACCCAGTATGGCCACCACTATAAAGTCCTTCTCTGATGTTTCATCATAGAGTCCCTGAGTCATCTCTGAACACAAGAGGGAAAGTCTTTGAGTACTGGCCCAGTGACAGAATGATCACTATGTTAACTTCTGGGTGATGAATTTCTTGGTCTTAGCAGCTCCAGAAGGCCATCTATGAAACTGTAGAAGGGCGAGAAGCACTGTGCCAGGATGGTGTGGGTGGAGGGGGAGATTAGGGAAAGGGGAATAAAAAGATACACAGGATACTGTTCCAGTTTTCAAGGAGGTCACAATATATTTTATTTCCAGTTTATAGGAAAAGAAATTGAAATATGGAAAATGAAATGCCATTAAGTCAATGATAGAAGAGTAAATAGAATTTCATTAGATTTGGACTAATGATCCTTTTAACTTGCACTGATAAGTATTCACAGAATTTTAGAATTTCAGAGTTGGAAGGGACCTTGGTGATCCCTTAGTCTGATCTCATTTTACAGGTTGGTAAACTGAGACCTAGAGAGTTGAAATAAAGTTGCCAAGTGGCGACAGGTATTGATATGGGTCTTCTGATTCTGAGTGCAATGCTCTTTTAGTATACAAAACTATTTTCTATAACTTATGTAACATCCCCCTCCCCCCCCCAAAAAAATCACAAAACAAACAAAACCCACTGCAGTAGTTAGCTTTTAAAATGACTTTTGGGGCAGCTAGGTGGTACAGTGAATAGAGCACCAGGCTCTGGAGTCAGGAGGAACTGAGTTCAAATCCGGTCTCAGACCAGACACTTGACACTTATCAGCTGTGTGACTGTGGGCAAGTCACTTAACCTCAACTGCCTTGACAAAAAAAAAAAAAAAAATTACTTTTAATTATGCCTAATTATTAAAAACAACCAAACAGCAGTTGGATTTTAAAATTACTGCTAATTATACCTAATTACTAATAAGAAATTACTATTTTACTAATGTTGGGGGTAAAAATTAGTTGAAATACTGATTTTATGCCAACTTTTATGTAAATAAAAAGTAAAATCCTTAGCATTCGTATTCATTAAAACTTAGAAATACTTTCATTCTCATTCAATAAGGAAAATAAAGAAAAATATCATTCAAATTATGATCATTCTACAAAGTTGTGTTTTGAGACATAATAGAAACATAGTTATTTAAATAAGCAATAAAAAGTGGCACAGGTTTTAGGGTCTAACAGCTATTTACTAAGCTTTGCCTTGATTTTCTATTATTTATTAAAAAAAACTTCTCTTTTTAGGAGACGAAATATTGTCTCTAAGGTTCCCATAAGGATTTCATTCTTTCGAATATGGAAGCAGCAGTGTCTTGGGAAAAATGGATAGGAAATTGATTTAATATTTTACTTTCTCTTTCTTCTAACAATCCTACACTTCATGCTTAGAAAAGAATGACTATACACGAGTTCTGGAAAGGGAAAACACAAAGGGAGAGAAAAGTGGGATTGAGAAGGGAATAAGAAAGGAGAATAAGTAGGAGCAAGAAAGAAAAGAAGAGCTGAACTAGAAAATAATGGAACAAGAGGAAAAAAATGGACAGAGAACATAAGAAAAGTGATTACTGTGGAAGGAAGGAAAAATCTAAAGAAATAGTCAGAGGTGCTGCATAGTTGGAGGAGGGGGAGATATACTAAATTCGACTGTAACCTTGGACAAGAAATGTCATTTCTCCAGGACTCAGATTCCTCATTTTAAAAATGAGGGGGTTGGATTAGATCATTTCAAACGTCTTTTTCAGCTCTAAATCTATGATCCTATGACCATGGAAATGACTTATCATTTCTGTGACTGTCTCCATCAATATCACCGACCCCTATACCACAAATCTACCACACTGAGCTTCCCTCCCTATCACAGACTCCAGTCAACCAATTTATGTTAATCCTCAGTCTCCATTTGTCCTGTATCTTTTCATAATGCTTGGGCTATAAACTCTCAGTCTACCCGCTATTTATTTCTTCTAATTCCTGTACCATGTCACAGAATGCTACTTACAGAGTTCTAGGAATAGAACTGATCTGGTTTAGTATCAAATTTGCTATGTTACACTAAAACTCAAATTACTTCTTACCTGCTGTCTTTCCCATTCTGTATTGCAGAATAGCGATCTGCAGTCCTTTCACAAACATATGTGTTCCTTCTTGTCATACCACTTCCAGGAAAAACATTGTTCTATAAGAAAGAAAGAAAGATGTGATTTTTCAATTTCTATTAAATTTTGGGAAACTCAGATAATACATAAATTGCAAATTATATTGAAAAAAGTACAGTAAACTTTTAATGAACTAGAACTCTCAATCAATCTGACTTATTTGATTTGTTTTTCCTTTAGTTTTTAGGAGTAAAAAAGCAATTGATAAGAGAATACATTCAAATGAGGGTTTAGGTCAAAAAAGCGAATTCTAGAGTTTACCTTGGTGTCACTTAAATTCATTCCAATCTCCTACACCAGGGGTTAGCAATCTTTGAGAGTAGGAGTAAATGGGGTGTGCTGTGCCAATAATCCTCCCTGACCACATGGCTGTTACCTATCAGCCACTACTTTCTCTGTAAGTCTCTGTGGGTGAATGGAATTGTTAGGTAAGTCAGTATCCCAGGGAGGTGGCTCCTAGGAGTACATGTTTCACAAAGTTCATCAACATCTGATGAGAGATACCTTGATCCTAAGCCTAATCCTCATGGCAGTGAAACAAGTCAATTACAGGCAGCTGGAGGTTCTGGGGTGAAAATGAAAAAAGGGGGGTGACTAGCAGGGCAGGCATCTTTCTGCCACGTGTACACCCACATAGGTTTCTTTGTACAATTCCCAGTCCTAGATGCCATGTTACCCCAAATCTTCTCATAGGCCATCTCTGGTACATGGATCTTAGTCTGCTAATCCCCATCCTACTCCTAACTCTAGAGTACCATATAATGAAAAAGGGTTTTCATAATCATGACCTTATTGCACTTCAAAATTCTCAGTTAGTAAAGGAGGATTTAAGTATGCTTATTATAACATATTCATAAAGACCAGAAAGAGTCCTAATGCATTTTAGAAATACCTTTTTTTAAGCAAGAAGAGATTTTCTACTTAATCTCCAGTTAATTGGAAAATTCAACTAATGAAAACATTTAATTCTCTTAGCATTAAGTTAAGCATGGTTTTACTGCACTTTAAAATAATATAGTCAACTTAAACCAATGTTTAAATATAAGAACTACAAAAATTTATGTTTCTATCACATTGTTCATTCATTACATTTAGTGACTATAATCAACCAGGACATAAGAAAATACACAAGGACAATAGAAACAAAACTGAGTGACTCTTAATCTCAATAGTATATTCACCTAAAAGGAATAACTTCTGGGACTAACTACATCACAAGTGTAAAAAGTAAATGGAATGGAAAACAATTGAAAACAAGCTAAATTTACAAAGGACATTTTTCATATTAAATTTAGATGTATGTGACCCACAGTAAACAATGGCTAGACAATTCTAAATTACATCATGGAGAGATCCATGTAAGTGAGGTGACTGAGATGGAAGCCTCTTGTAACCTCCTACTATACCTTCCTTAAGACGAGGAGATACACTCAAGCAATACAATTTTCCATGTATCAACTTGGAAAAAGCTTAAGACTTTGCTGCTCATAAGGTGATAAGCCCTGAGCGCTTATGTAAGTTGCTCCCTTGGAATCTGGAACTGTACAATAAAAACCTGGGGTTTGCTAGTAAACCTTTCCTTTTTATAACCTTCTTTTCCTAATATTTAATTGGGAAAAAATTTGTCACAATTTCAGAACCTTTTGCTGGTATAATGAAACACTTTCCTAGTGAATGAAACGGTTTCTGCTTAAAAAAAAAAAAGATTCAATTTGTTAAGAAGTTCTCAATGTGATTGTGTGAGAAAGAATCAGTTTCAATTTTGGAGTTCAGAAATACTGTATACAGTGTAGGTGAAATGAATATTAAAGTACAAAATTAATCAGAAGGCTGAGAAAGCTACACTATAGGGCTTTTGTGAGCAAAGTGCTTTCTTTATGAACTTTAAAGTGCTATATATTTTAAAGAAACACTGAACAATTTAAATAATTTCTAACTGCCATCAACCACCAAAAATATATCAAACTAGTGAACCTAACTTCCTCTATTACTTATGAAATGGGCAATTTTAAGTCCATAAAATTTTCCAACATAATGTTCACATCAACTTTTTAGACACAGTGCGATGCCAATAAGCACAGAGATCTGTATATTTGTTTAAAAATTTTGAATTAAATTATATGGGACAAATCATCTTGGTCTATTAGTGTAGAAGGAAACCTGTCATAGCGAATGGGGGCTAAGAGTGGGTTGTCTATGATTTTCTATTATCCTATCAATTTTTTTTTCATAGATTACAGTTGAGAGCAATTGAACACATTTGTTCCATTGCTCAAATTTGGAAAACATTACAGACCTTTTGATATAAGAGTTTCACTAATGTTCTATAATGAAAATTCCTTGCAAAACAAAAAAGGTGTTAATTTGTTAGCAGCTGACACTGTCCTGGAAGGGTTAAAATTTGCTTTATGTGCTATACATACTTTTTTTTGGACATCATTTTATTTAAGCCTGATTAACGTTCAAGAACTGTCCTTATTAATAGTGTCAGCAGTAGTTCTTAACATGAGGTCCATGAACTTCCTCTTAAAAACATTTTGATAACAAGTGTATTTCAATATAATTGGTTTCCTTGGTATCTTATGTATTTTACTTTATAAACTTAAAAACATAATTCTGAGAAAAAGTCTATAGCAGGAATGGGGAACCTGTGGCCTTGAGGCTACATGTGGCTCTCTAGGTCCTCAAGTGTGGAATCCAAACTGCACAGAACAAATCCCCTTAATAAAAGGATTTGTTCTGTAAAACTTGGACTCAGTCAAAAGGCCCCACCCACAGACCTAGAGAGCCACATGTGGCCTCCAGGCCACAGGTTCCCCACCCCTGATCTATAGGCTTAACCAGATGGCCAAAAGGGTCCACAATACAAAAAAAGATTTAGGAACCCCTAGTCAATAGTCTTCATATACTGAAGTTCTGGAAACGTTCTATAGTAATATAAAAAATTATAATTGAAAAAGATCTCTCAGGCATGATGCTAGACATCTTCCTATTTATCTTTTAAAATACTGTTAAATAAATGTGATTTAATTAAAAACTGGCATTTTATTACTACTGCTTTAAGATTTGCTAGGGCTTTATAATCATGATCACATTTGAGCTTCAAACTTTGTGTGATAAATACTATAGGTATATTATTCCCATTTTACAGATGATGAAACTAAGGTTCAGATAAGTTAAGGGACCTGCCTATGGTTACCCAGCGAGCAAATATGAGAGGTGGGATTTGGATACAAGTCTTCCAGACCTCAAATGGAGCATCTACTTCCACACTGCTTCAGCTTAACACTGCTTAATCCCCAAAATATTACCTAGGTACCAATTACGTTTGCCTCAGAGGGAGAGATAAAAACGTGATACAGATGAACCTGATAGGGACTTTTCCAAAGTTAACAACAATATATTAATTGCTGAATCCCATGTCCTCATCCTTCTTAACTTCTCTGTAGTATGACAGTTAGTGTTGACCATCTCCTTCGCCTTGAATTTTCAAGACACTTCTTTCTCCTAGTTCTCATATCTTCTTTCTCCACAACCTCATCACTAGCCCTGGCCGCAATGATCACCTTTATGCAGGATGACTCCTGCACCTATCTATCCAATCTTGGCTATTCCCTTAAACTCCAGTCCTTTATCACCAACTTCCTGTTAGAAAACATCCACTGAATGTCCCATAGGAATCTAACTCAAACATGTCCAAAATGAAATTTATTATCTTCCCTACCCAAATTCAACCTTCCCTTAACTTGCCCTATTTATATTAAGCACAGCATCACCTTTCCATTTACTCAGATTTTTATCCTGGGAGGTATCATTGACTTTTTCTTCTTCACCCCAAAAAGCCAGTTCATAACACCTTGTTGATTCTCCATGCCCACCATGTTTCATATTTGCCCCCTTTCTCTCTCTTCACACAGCTATCACTCTAGCTCAGGTATTCATCATCTCTTACTTGGACTATTACAACAAACTCCTACCAATCTAATCATTCTTAAGCTTCCAATCTTTCCCCCTAATCTAGTTTCCACAGAGCTGCCAAAATAATCTTTCTGAAACATGAATTGGACCACTTACAGTGCCATGTTCAAGAACTTTCTACGGCTTCCTATTGCCTCTAGTATAAAACGTGCAACATTCAGGATAATATCTAAGATAAAATATTAAAGTATCTCATTAGTACCCTCTGCACCTGTGATTCAACCTTTTGACCGGAGGGCAGGGCCATGGGCTCCAGGGCTTCTATTTAAGGTGGGAGTCCAACACAGTCTTCTCTTCATTTCCCACCAATTACACTGCCCTTGAATTTCATGATGCCTTTTTTTCCTCAAAGAAACTCAATGGGTGGAAAATCTTATTATCCTACCTGATTGAATTAGCCTTCTGACTCACATTTCATCAGCATGTTCTGCCCTTCTGATTGCACTCTCTGACTAGAGGACAGAGCCATAGGACCCCCTCCGTTTAAGGTGGGGGTCCAGCACAATCTTCTACCTATTTCCCACCAGCTACACTGCTTTTGGACTTCTTTGGATTCTCATCCTGCCCCCACCCTAGGTGCATTCTCCCTCTCTACCACTCTCCCCTTGCCCACTTTTCACCTTTTGTGTGTCTTCCCCCATTAGTCTGTATCTAATGCCATCTAACGATGGCAGGGACCATCAGACTTTTTATTTGTATCCCTAGGGTTTAGCCCAGCACAATGCCAGGCACTTAATAAATATCTACTGATTATTAACTCCTCAGCTTGGCATTTAAAGCCCTTTACATTCTAGCTTCTGCCTACTAGCCTTTCTTAATTTATAGCACATCCCTCCCTTGCAAATACTCTATGTTCCAGCCAAAATGGCTTACTCGCTGCTGCCTGAACCTGGCATTTCTTTTCTAGCTTCTCAGTCTTGGTACAGGATATTTCTAATACTTGGAACATGCTCTCTTCATCTCTTCTTTTTAGACTTGTTAACTTCCTTCAGAGTGTAGTTCATGGGAAGAGTTTCTGATCCCCTAGTTGTCACTGCTTTTT